TCCTGGGAAAAATTAGACATTTCCAGGAGATCTCCTGGGACTCTTCCAACTCCCCTGGGAAACGGAAAAAACTCCTGGGATTCCCAGGGCTTGTTTTTACCGTGCGACGACAGTGAGAGCTCGGTGAGACTCCATGCTCGCTGCGTCGATCCCTGTTTTCCTCCTCCTTCTCCTCCTCCAACGACCTCGAGCTGCTCAATGATGCCAGGCGGGAGACCACACCACACCACGTAATGGGATGAGCGTAAATTCAATCGCTTCGGGGTCGGTCTTCCGCTGCCGCTATGCGAGGAGTCGGCTACTGCGGGGATGATCTGGGATCACTTCGAGTGGGACGGGGCAGCACCCGCGGGACGCGAGGGCCAAACACCCTTGTAAGCTCCTGTGGCCCCAGGGGCAGGCAACGCGTACACAAGCACTCTCTCTCTCTCTCTCTCTCACACACACACACACACAGAGGATGAGCGTATGGACCAGCAAGAGCACCTATAGAGTACCAATATCGACGAGCTCACTGTCGGTCCCTGTGGTTCAGCAGCAGGTTAGCAGCATCCGGAGTCCCCAATTAGTTTCAATATAAGTTTTTCTCCGAAAATGAAGCCTCCACGAATTTTTTCACAAAACTTTTAATTAGTAAAAATAAATATAATGCCCCGGGACGGAAGAGATATGGGTCACATTAACATCATACCGTCTACTGCGCCGGGCTAGACCACAGGACCACAGGATGCACGCACCCTCTCTTTCCCGGAAACTGAAAAGCACCGTGCAGCACCGAAGACACACCCTTCTCCTCACCATCCCTTAATTAGATATGGCAATTACAAGTTGCCGCCTGCACCGCCGCGACCTTCAGGACCTTCCTCGAGCATCTGCGGGGCAACACGTGGCGCCCCCCAGACGAGCCCAGCGGCCGCGACAGAGACGCCACAAAGCGAGCTCGGGGGCGGCCGGGGGCGCCGAGGGCCAACCCTTTCACCCCGCTTCGCTCTCGCTCGGCCATTGTCGGCGAGCGACAAACCCGCCCTCCGGCGCAAGCGTCGCCGCCACCCCGTGCACGGCCGATGGCCTCCCCCGGACCCGCCCCATACGACGACGCGACAATGCTGTTCCGCCCCTCGGTGCACGCCCTCCGGGACCCCTCATCAGCTTAGACATTTTCGAAAAGGTGTGCTGTGTGAATGAAAACTTTTACGCGCTACACAAAGTTATGAAAGGTATACGTTTAGTAGATATGCCTTCTTTGTTTCACGTTTACTGCTTGTAGGCAAAGGTCATCCAATACCTATGCACATGAATTTCTTGCACGCACTTCATGTAAACGCATCCAAAGACGCACTTCGTTATGACAGAACGTCACAGAGCTCACAACAATCTGCCAACGCGTTCCACTTTGCAGAAGCGACTAACAAGAACCTGCAAAAGCAGAGCTCATATGAGTAATTATACCAGTAGTTTAGCCCGGACAACAAAACAGCCAACTCGAAAACTCGACGGTACGTGTATCGTTTCTCCAGCAGCTTCAACCCCTCCAAGCAGCCCGCGGCTTAAGGCCGTATCACACTGTAGGCTGGCGGTGGCGTTGGCGCTGGCGCTGGCGTTGGCGCGCTCCAGCCGACCAATCAGCGCTCAGCAGTCGGCGCTGGGCGCTGGCGCTCGGAGAATAGCCGAGCGTCTATTTTCACGAACGCCAACGCCAGCGCCATCCAATCAGATGCGAGCTCTCAGTCACGTGGCTCGATCAGTTGCGCGCCAAACAACTCAGAGAGAACAATAACACAAAAACAAGTCTGAACCTGTCGTGTCGTGAGCAAGTGGCTGAGCGGTGCAGCGTCTGATTTCTGATTTTTATTTGAGTGAATCATGAGCATGAGGGGGAAAATGAATGGCAAAAAGAATATTCTAACCAAAGAGCAAGAAGTAGATTTAGTGAAGGAAGTTTATAAGTATGAAGTCTTGTGGGACTCCACCAAAGAAATTTATAGGAGGTCTGACTTGAAGAATTTGGCTTGGGAGAAAGTAGCTAAAGATTTGAAGCTGCCTGGTGAGTTTTACTATTTTTTTATCAATCTATAAACGGAAAATAATGAGTTGAATTGAAAACATCACGGTGTTCATGTCAACATCTTTATCAATGTTGTTCTCTTTCCAGTTGATGGTACTGTTCTGAGTAATCGTTTCAAAAATATTAGAGAAACCTATACCACTAACCTCAGGAAAGTGGAGAGCTCAAGAAGGAGTGGTATTGCAACGACAGACGTATTCAAGCCTACGTGGCATTTGTATGAATACCTGGACTACCTGAGAAATCCGAGTAAGCAGGCAGGCTCCTCCTCAAATATTGAAGAGCAGATGAGTCTGTCTGAACCAATTTTCGTGGAGGAAACCTCTGACGCAGACGCTGCACCGCCTAACATGAATGTTCAATTTGCCTACGACAGTAGCTTGCAAGTAAGGTTTTGGACTCTACTCTCATGGTTCAATGGTGTTGAATGATTATTAATACAAAATTTAATTTGTCAGAAGTGGGTAATGCTGAACCAGCTGAACCAAATTGCGGACAAGGAGGATCAGGCTGCCCTCAACATTGAAGAGGAGAACCTGACTGCAGCTTCGGTCCCAGCTGCAGACATTTCCATCTCAGATACACCATCGAGAAAGAGGCCCAGGACTGAAGCTTCAACTTCAAATGGAGCACAATCAGAAGAGGGTGGGTACTTCTTCCAGAAGAAGGGTGAAAAGAAGAAGGGGACCGAAATTTTGCAGGAGGCTGTAAAAGCTCTAGGAGCACTGGCTTCGCAGCCAGTGCCATCATTTCCCATTGAGGAAGCTGTCCAAGGCTCAGTCAGTGAATTCTGCCGTTTCTTGGACAGTCAGTTGAAGGAGCTACCGGCTAACGAGAGGAAGGCAGCAGAAAATAATATCATGCGTGTGATGATGGAGTTTTAGTAGTTCCTAAGTTCTTAGCAAACCTTTGGCAATCTTTGGCGTCATTATTGTTCCAAGTGATTTTC